CAGCTGAATGCTTCACTAGACATCACACTTATCTGGGGTAAAAGGATGAACAAGCACCCGTTTAATGTCAGTTGTAAAAACCTTGCCTCTCTGTTAGAGTGCGTTCATTTAGTTAAGTGCCTTATGTGGTATATAAACCATCTGTGTATGTGTGCCTTAAAGCTGTTCAAGGCTTTTTCCATCAGAAATGCCAGTTTGTTGATACCAACAAATTCATTGACTCAAAAAGTGTTTTTAAATATTCAAAAGGGCTCTTTTTGGCCTATGTTTAAATATGAAAAATGTGCTTTCAAGTTAACTTTTCATTTAGAAATGTGCGTTTTTATGAACCTAAGCTGTTTGGTTTCTTCCTTCCAATTTTCAGTCAGATATTTTGTATTTTCAGTGGAGACAGGTGCAAGCATAGTTGCTAGCATGTAGGAACAATCACAGGGCAGAATTTGGAGTGAAGAGAGGGAGGAGCAGAAGAATGTAGAGTATCTGGGGGTAACAGAGAAGGAAACTAGGAAAGTGTGAGTATAAAACTGAGATCAAAATGCCGATAGCCTCCTGCAAACACTCAAAAGCTGACCCCATTGCTCCTGTACTTCGCCATCCTCTGATTTCTAACGAGAAGCCTGAAACCACACTGGTGGAAGCCGCCGTTTCCATCTCCGTCTCCTGGCAGGTAGAAGGGACCCAAATCCTGTGGCTATGCCATACTCAGCCAGACTCTCTCTGCGGGAGAGAGTCCACCTCCTTCTACAGATCGATCCCTTAGGCTTGGTTTCTCAATTTTCACATATTTTAAGGCCATACAGTTTCACGTACACCCAGAGAGGAGCTCAAAGAATATTAAGTCAAAAGCACTGGATGAAATGAAATATCGGAGTTAAGGTTGCTTATGTGAACCTCCACTGGGTCCCCATGTCTCAGCCAATAAAGCAGACTTTCATCCAAAGCACGTTTTCACACATTGCTCTGGCAACATCCTCTGTAGGTCACGATCGCTCTCCAGTCCCTGAACTTCTTGCTTTAGCATCCCTCCAGTGCATGATCCCTTCCCAAACAAGCCCACAGACTGGACTTTGCTCCATTCCCCAGTGGAAATGCAGTTTTCCATCCGGTCTAGTTCGACCCTTCACCGTGTGCAGCTCCGAAGGAAAGGGTGCTTCTCACCCCCATGCATCCTTTCAGCCAAGGTTGCTTCTAGGGAAACAGGAGCCACCTAAGTAACTACTACCTCAGAAACAGCAGCCAAAAGAAAAGTTAGTAACAAATGGCGGCCGGCCCACATCCTCTCACCATTTGGACTGAAGGATCTGTGCCTGCCCACAGAAAGAGCCTCCCCTGCAGCTCGTCCCATGCAGCCAGAGTGATCGTAAATCCTCCCCTCGTTTATGAGCTATGAATAGGGCCCTGTCTGACCTAACTAGGGCATGGAGAAGCTATTAGACTTCAGAGCAGGAGCCTTGAAACACATGCTTGGATTCATCAAAGGAATAATGGAAAATATTTTTTCCACATGGATTTTAGCTAATGATGTTATTTCTAGCAATTAGGGACTTCCAAACTGTAGCCATACTTTTGAGTACTGTGGAAGAAGGGGATGTATCTTGTGATTTAAGCATAAGATTGAGAGTTAAGGACCTTGGTACGCTTCCCAGACATGCAGCAGAGTGAACATGGGGAAGTCACCCTGTCTCTATACATGTGTAATCCTTCCTGTAATAACAATCTATGGCTGAAAATGTACCAATATCCACTGCGGCATAGCACAACAATGGCACTGAAGGGAAAAATAATAAAGAACACAAACAAAGTGAAACAGGCTTCTTATACTCGTGCTACAGTTAAATCTCTGTCAACAGTGTTCACTGTTAGAGTTTATAGTTCCTTTTCACATCTTCACTTGTCTGACACTTCCTACCTTCACCACTATAGTTTAGCATTTTTGAGAATGTAAAATGCAAGTATAATTAAAATTTCTTGTTATTCCTTCCCAACTATCTTGACATAGAATTAAATACAGTGTGTGTGTGCGTGCGTGTGCGTGTGTGTGTGTGTGTGTAAAACTTACTGCACTTAGCTCTGCCTGTGGTGATTTCCATTAGGAGGTGCATTTCAAAACATTGATCCAATTCCTGCTAAAATTCAATCTTCTTCAGAGGTCTGTCCAGGTTTGCTTATGGTTTTGCCGTTCTGATCAGATGTAAACCTAATGGGATATCTCTGGCAAAAGGAGATAGAATTTTTTTACAATCCCACGGTGACTATGAATGGCAGGTGAAATGTTTTGAATCAGTTTTTATTTACTAGGGAGTTAATATGATCCAGTATTGCTAAGTAAGCTATATACTGTGTTTTGTATTAGATGCAGCTTTTCCAGGGTCTATATCTTCACCACTAGATCTAGTGAGTACCAGTGACCATGCCATTTGAAGAGAAAGCTAGCAACTGTGTGACAAGGCTGCCTTTGTCTAGTGCAGGATGAAACATTATATATGCCACTGGCGTACTTGACTTAAAACTCTTTACGACAGCTGTCATCAAAGACTGGTATGGCCGAAGAATATCTTCAGCAATTTAAAATTATCAAGAGACTACTGAAAAGATGGGCCGGTAACTATATGTGGACATCACTGAATGTGAGAGATGCTGGTTTCCAAACTTGTGATCTATTTATTTGAGAAATTCGTGTTTCTTCCACCTTACATAAGCTAAAATCTTGGCTTACTTATCTTAGTATTTAACTGCCAAAGTATGACAATCCCATATTTACACAAATCCAGCTCCAGGAGAAGGTGCTGATACTTGCCAGGCGCTTACCAGACATACATGCCTATTCAGCTTTCCACATCTCTTTTCTGCACAACTCAAGCTAACAGGGCCTGTCTGACCAACATTTGCTATCAACACAGATCCATTAAGGAATCTGTTGGTCCATTTTCTTTTTTTGGCATAGTCAGAATAGCATGGTGGAATATTCAGAGTCTAAAAGCAACTGAAGGCAAGAGAATGATCATCATTAGATAACTTATAAATAGTATTGAATTGAGGGCTCAGTAGTGCCTAGATGCTTCCATGCTGAGGCATTACCAATAAATTCTGCTTCTTTGTTTGGCAGTCGTCTGCACAGAAGGTTACATTTAGGTACAAATATTTTCTCTTATTAAAACATGTTATTCCAGTTTTCTTATAGATGGAAAACACCTAGCCTGTGTGTGAACTTACCATAACTGTGCCAAGATAAGATTAAATTTCTCTGACCTTTTGAAAAATTGTTCCTTCTGTGATTCTTGCCATTGCTTTATCCTCTAGCAAGGATTCATGGAGAAAAATGCTGTTAAAATGCTGTAAACGTTCTAGCGTGTCCATGCTTTGAGAGCTGAAATGACCCATACTCAGATACCATCTAAATGGACAGGAAATTGGATGAAAGATTTTTTTAAACCTTGTATTAAGTTTTATGAGAACATAATCAGTTCATCCTCAAAACGGTCACGAAAAAGGAAGTACTGCACTTGTGGATTTGAGCTTTCAGAATATTTCTCATCAGCAGTACAGTTTTTCTGTTACTTGTGGTCATTGTCATTTCCTAAACCAAATCAGATTGTAATTGTAAACTGTTCAGGCAACCTGCTATGTATGTGTATAAATAGGTAGCTTTAGGCATAAGCTACAATAGCTAAATCAGCACTGGCCAGACAGTTCGGTACTAGCAGTATTACTACTTTGTGGCAATGTCATGTCATTCCTAAGTCTGCTTAGTGAGGGGATTCATTACAGCCTTCCTTCAGATTTATTCTATCAAACTCAGAGCAGTATATACGCCTGAGAGTGGGCAATAGTTCTGAAGTTTATTCTTCCAAGTGTTTGCCAGTTCAGTCTGATTTACCTTATTTTTTTTAACTTCCTCCTCATTTATCATCTCAGACAGCTTGTATTGGACTAGGTTACTTAATTGGTTTGGCAGGATTTTCTGGGATCCTATTTCTAATGTGAGCAGTCATAAAAACTGTTAAGCTAACTTTTTTCTGGAAAATCTTTTGATCCTAAGGCTAACGCCTGGTATCCTAGGCAGTGCCAAGTCAGAATGTCTCTAAGAATTTATCATTATCTCTTGGTTACTGCCTCCCTTGGGATTCCACACAGCACTTTTTTCTTTGCATGCCTTCCAGGATTCCAAAACTTTAACCAAAATGCTTAATGTCTGAGTGGTGCACAAGTAATGCTTCCTTTGTTTCTTATATAAACATTGTCCTGAAACTCATCAAAAGTCAGTCGTGCTGCAATGCATAGAATAGTAAGAATTTTAAAAAGTAGGTAAACTTTGTGTGTGGGAATATGGTGCTTTCTTTTCAAATGCACAGAAGTCAAAGGGAGTTTTGCCTGTACTGTCTATTTCTCCAGACAGTGCCCACTGTTTTTTTTTGGTCCTAAAATACTCTTAGATCAGCCTTCCTGAGGGATTGAATCAAGGATCACTATAAGCGATGGGCAAATCTCTCTGCTTTGGAAATGGAGCGTTAGACTAAGGGAAAGATGTAAACAAACTGGAAGGACATGTACTGCCAAAAGGACAAGCTGCTTGTCACCTGATGCTCACCTGGTGCTTGAAATACCTCTTTGGCGAGAATTAGCGAAATTCACTGTCTCTGTTACTCAGAGAGAGAGTTTTGCCTTCTGCATCCACCTTCCCTGTGAGCAGAACCAAATAAAGTTGCTGTTACTGAATTTTTTCCGAACACTGGCTTGGCAAGGCTATAAAATATAAGTGAATTAAATTGTATGGATGTTAATTAAAAGGTATCATCTCAGAAAACACATCACTTGGGTTTGGTCAAAATATAGCAGAAGCTTTGTAATAGGATTGTGTGTACCGGTTTTACTCCAGCAGAAGATAGCATTTACCCTCCAGGTTCTTCAGATAGACTGTTCAGTTAAGGCCATATCCAAAATGAAGTTATAATGGTGAAATACGAGTGCAAATATTGACAATTTCTTTGTATCTGTTCCAGGCAGAGTATGAAATTGCTCCAGATGAAAAGCTGGGAGAGAAAGGAAAGGAAATCATGATGAAATACCTCACCCCAGAGGTAAGGGGCAGCCAGAGTGGTATTACTGAAGGAATGCTGCAAGGCACACCTTGGCTAAACAAGGTTGTTACAGGCTGTGTAGACCAGAGTCCTAAAATTTATGGTGACAATCTGCAGTGAATAAAACTGCGAGTCTTATCCAAACAGCCAGAGAGAAAAAACTTTACATTTCAATCCACAAATTGGCTCTTAAAGATGAACTTGAGCTTCCTATGGCTTAATTCATTTGTGAAAGAACAGAGGGGCTTCTCTGGTCTCTTTTCTGTGTGCAAAACTCTACATCTGTGTTATAATACAAGAGAGCTGTTATCAGCAGATGCCACAATTATTTCCTATCCAGTTCAAAAGAGCTAATGTTTCAGATGCTTTGGCAAAAATGGCTTTTGAGTAACAGACACTGTATATTGGTGGAAAAACTCGCCCTCCTCCCCACACCATTTGCCCCAAAATAACCAAGGGCGTGTGAGATTGCAATGGTACGATGTGTTTTGGAAGAGAGAGATAATATAACCAGTTTTATTTCCACTGCTACCAATTCCTGACCACTGCAACTCCAGTCTGTAGGAGGGAGAGGAGCTCATGGTAGCGGCTGTGTCCACAGGGTGGCACTCTGAACAGAACTACAAATTTGCTGCAAGAATTTTGGACAGGCTGCACTGGGACTAACCCTTCTTTTCTGGGTTTCGATCATTTGCTGACCGCGTTTAACCTTTGCACAAAAGTCACTGCCAGTAAGCAATAAACATTCAACTTCAAACACAGGAACAATCCTAGGCTTTTTCCTAAGTTCCTTTCATAAGAGTAACCAAGACGTACAATCGCTACTTCGACTGTTTTACAAGAGAAATACATTTGACCTTTGGGAAAATGAATTGCATTTTTGGCAAATGGCCTTTTAAAGCATTTAAATGGTACAATATGTTTTGGAGGTGGAGGGGCAGAGCGGACCACTTTTTTTCCAGTCAGTCATTTTCCTACAATAAATTTCAGTGCATACTTTCAGTTATCTCAGACTGCATTTTGGGATCTGGTTTCATTTACTGAGTCTGGCTAGTTTCATGTGCAGTCATTTAGTACTGCCAGTATGGGTTCCTGCTGCCCATTCATTAGGGGCATGAAGTTCCACTGCGCTTTAATCCATGGAGGTGACCATTTATCTTAAAGTTTCTGTCAGCAGAGGAAAGAGGAACAAATACTGAGGGGAAATATTTCCCACTGTTTCAGTCCTCATCTGGAAATGAGAAAAGGTATTTTGTTGATATCAGGGCTAGTAAAGTGAGAGAGGGATGGTGCTGTTTAGCTTCAGCTAAGCGCAGCTGGTCTTTGTGCAGGTTTCCAGATGCCAAAGCACTTCAGTGCTGTCCTGTGGCACTGCTGCCATCCCTTTCTGTTTATCAGTAACCCCATAGTGCTGGAGAAGTAGTTTGTGAGCTAAATGAATGTCATTCAGAATGAATGTCAGTCAGTGAGACCAGCCTGAGAGCAATTTCTTCTTCATCAAGCAAAAATCATGGCCCTGCAAGAAGGTAAATTGCTGGTACTTTGGAGTTGGAGTTTCTCTGCTGTACTCCGGACTATATTTGAGCTGGGTAGCTGGCTTCTCAGTATGTGAAATGGGCACAGGATATCTACAGTGTATTCTGGAACATCTGTGGTGTTTGCAAATTACCTTAAGATCTTTGGGGAGAAGGGAACAAGAAGCTTTGCTACTTGTAATCTAAAACTGCCTGTCTGGGAGTGGTACTTTAATGCCTGCATTGGCCTCACTGCACTTTTTTGTTATTGGGATGTCTAGGCCATTCTACAGAAAACACTTCCTAGAGGCAAAGGTGACTGTGCCATAGCAATGGGTTGATCACTAGATTTTCTAATAGAGGACTTGCCTTCCGCATATACTTAGACGTGTAGAGCAAGGCATGCATTCATTTCACTTAATTTTAGATACACAACTCAGGTTAGGAGTCTAAATGGACTACTTTCCTTTATAGTCGAGAAAGAGAAATGAGAACCTCCAAATGACAGGTATGAAGCCACCAGAGATTCTCTCTTTCTCTCTCTCTTTTTTCATTGAATCCAGGGTGACCGATTCGAAAACAGGTTAGATATTTGCAGTCAAGAGGGATGAATCTGGACCCAAATGTCCTAGTGGAATATCAACCTGGCACGCAAAGAAACCCTCTTTTCCTTAAGTGCTACATTTCTCCATCTAGTTATCAGTCCCTTGAAAGATACAAAGAACCACTGATTCCCAGCCTTCTGCTTTCAGAGGAACATTTCTTTTAAGTAGGTGTATGTCTGTGCTTCAAAGAACCTGATTGTCTTGATATAAAAATAGTGTGACATACAGCTTGACTGATGGAATAAAATTATAGGTTTAGTTCTTGGACAGATAATTCAGATTTATAATATGAAGAATATTTTTCCCAAAGTGCAGGATCTGAAGCAAAATCAAAACAAAACGTAGACTTCATGCTCTTTAATATTTATAAATGATTTTTAGTTCTTACTTAGATTTTTAAATGTCATACATATTTAATGTACAATGTGTCAGTATATCATCATTCTAAAGTGCATTCATTTGCATAGGGAACATGCACTTTATTTAATAAAACATATACTATTGCGCAGCAGAAAGAAAACATTTCCCCAGATGAATAGACATCACACCAATACTTACAACCTCGTGACTCACACAGCCACTGTCTGCAAGGTGTTACTACACTGCACTGTACAGTTAGCAAACTGAAATGTGTGGGAGCAGTGAATTCCTGAGTAAAGAACTTTTCTTGAGAACATTTAGCATCAATTTTGAGGCAAATAAACAAGCTCAGCACTACCCAAGATTGTTGAGGGGGGAGGCACTTTCTCAAATAATCATGATTCAGGCTCTGCTCAGCTTTAACATTCTGAGCTGCCTTTACACACTAGCTGGAGCAGTTGCAAAGAGATCTAGCTGCCTCTTTTAATGGCTTACAACATGGACAGCATGAGCAGAGTCAGGTTTCCACTCATATTTTCACAGCCTCCTTTGACCTACCAGTGACAGGGATCGCAAATCCTGAATCTGTGCTGGAATGCTGTGGAAGGGAAAGCGGGTGGTTTAAGCGTCTTGGAGAAATGGCATGTAGGAACTCTGAGTCTCATCTGGGAAAGAGAAGACAGGGCCTCATTGCAGAAGTGGGTCCCTGCTTCCTCGATAGGAAGATATTAGTATTTCCTCTCTCTTGCCTGAAGTGAACTGAAACATTCATATGCAATGCGCCGTTCTGAACTATTTGACTCTGATGGAAATGAAATGTCAGGGCTACATGTGATCTTTATAGTAAAGACACCAAAATACAAGCTTTTTCACTAGCTTCCTTAGTAGCTTCACGTGAGTGTTGAGCAGGAGAGAGAAAATCCATAGAAGAGGTATGGAGTAGCTGAAGACACCCCACCCCGACACATGCTATGAAGAGTCGTTAACCTGGTTCTCCACGCTCCCACTGCGAGCCAGCTACTCCTCAAGGGCTATGTGGGGAAGACTGCTGACGAGACGGCCTCGTCTGTTAACAGGAGGAGACTTGCACCCCATGGGGTATGTGCCACTTCAGCACCATATTCTGAAGGCGAATCCACCTGAAGGCTGCCTTTGCTGAAAAGAAGTAGTGCAGTGGTTGCTGCACTGGTAACATCAAGCGTTTCTTGACTACAGTCTTGTTGACCTTTGCTTCTTTCAGGGAAGCTTTAAAAGTTTCCATGAAAAAGGCACTTAAAACTGCCTTCTTGACTTAATAAGCCTTGAGGGCAAAAGTCCAGCCCACAGGAAATCTAAAATTTCTGAGGTTGTGAAATAGGATGGTAAAACTGCTAATATGAATTGGTCACAAATATTTCTTTCCTGGCTTTTCTTAATCTCAACAGTTGGATGGGAATGTTTCAGATTTAGGTTCCAATTCTTTCTATAAATGGAAAAGCCCTCACTGCTTCGTAGAACAGTTAAGTTAAACCAAACTCATTCTGGCTTCGTTATCTGGCTTCTTCTTGTATTGTAAGAGCAATCAGATACATTTGCCTAAGTACTGCTTTTAAAGTAGAGTTATGCATTTCTATGCATTGTTTTTACCTTCCTGCCTGAAAACTGCCTTGCCCTACTCTACTAAATGCCTAGCTCATTATTTTCTTTTTCTCTGTAAAGTGCCTTGAGATACTTCAGGAGATGCTAAATAAAAGTAAATTGATTTGAAATGGCCCTTAAGATGGTCTCCATATGCTATTATAGTTTATGTTTGGACTCCGCTGGGTACTAAAAAACCTTACTAAATAGGATAGCTAATGCATATTGTTATCCCCGTTAATATACTTCGCAGAATATGAAGAACAGCAGCAGCAGTAGTTTTCTTATCTGAATTCCTGTTTGTTCTCTTTCCTTCAGGAAATGCACAGCATAAAGACCATGTTTACAGTTTCTTTCTTTGCTGCAAGAGGTTAGCTGGACAAGACGATAACCTCCTTACTCCAGTCAAAGGAGAGCAGCAATAGGTATTTTGCTAAATTAAAATATGTCTTTGTTTTTAGGAACAATTATAGGATAAGGTAGGGAGGGCAAAGTCCTGTGAAAGGGAAACTGGCTGATCAGCAGTGCCTGGACTTCCACTTGTCTAGTGGCTAAAAAGTGTTCTCCTCTCATCAGTTCTTTCTGGAGAAGAAAACCTCCATCTAATATGGGTGAGAGGAAATTAAAGTGATGTATGACCCTTCTAATGGATAAAGTCCCCCAGCTGAGTCCGAGCTCATGCTTACAACACCCTGTCTCAGCTCTGTGCGTTGTCAAAGAATAACTTTCTTTTTGTGCACCATTGCTTTAGTCTTGATGCTGAGGATCTTATCTTCCCATTGTCCTCTCTTCAAGATTTCTTTTCCCCTTCCAATATATTTTTACCATCAAAATAAACGCAAACTTTGGCACTTATGCTTCTGAGTGAGTCATGATCTCTGATCACTAAAACCTTCCATCTACTATTAAAGAAAGTTTCTTGC